ACACCTTAATATATTATTCATCAAAAGCGTATTTACTTTACTTCAATGTATCAGAGAATATGTGATGTTTTTTTATTAGCCACTGTAGTTTTAAACTGATTCAAAATTGATCAACCACATATCAAGAAGATGCTTACTAAACCTATCTCTTCCAGCTGAAGCAATGTACAATGTACAAAGAGGGAAGTAAAGTTGCATAAAAATATATATATATATACATTTATATATATATATATATATATATATATATATATATATATATATATATATATATATATATGCATATACATATTAATACATATACATGTAATTAACTTACTGTAGCGGAGTAGAGTATATGTGTGATGTGTAAGGTGTGCAGTAAAGCAGAGTATATGTGTGATATGGGCAACAGAGTAGAGTATATCTGTGATTTGTGCAGCAGTGTCGAGTGTATGTGTCATGTGGTAACTTGTTTGATGTTTCAAAATAACTGTATTTATGAAAGAATAACTTATTCTTCAATTTTTTTTCATTTACGCATCATTTAACTAGCAATATAGTTTTCTTACTGTTCGATTTTTGTTCAATTTTAATTCATTTTTTATCATGTGTATGATAAAATCACACAAGTTTTTCTTTTATTATTATATTAAGACCATCATATTTATTGCCCACTCTATCACATTACTGGAGGTGATAGTTGGTGCAAGTTCAACATTGATAAAGCTAAGTCTTCTTGCGAACCTGGACCAGGAATTCCTGCGATTATTATTTACAAAATCAAGCCGATATATGCTGATTTAAGTAAAGATTCTGAATTAGTGAAGTGTCTGCATGGCAAAACCCAGAATTGTAACGAGAGTTTTAATAATTTAATATGGGATAGATTACCAAAAAGTAATTATGTTGGTTTAGCCAGTTAAGAGTTCAGAGTGTACGATGCTGTTGCAAATTATAACATAGGTATGAAGTCTTTTATTTTACAGTTTTTATGGTATTTTCAGTTATTTTTTAGGGTTGCCATTGCAACAAGTTACCATTTTATATTTTGGTATTTTTAACGTCAGTATAATATTTACTATATGACTAAAGAAAAATTACTTTATATGTGTTGTTTTAAAATTTGAGGGTAGTTGCCCCTTAATTTTAAAACCAAATTCCGAGCGAAAGAAACTTTTTCGGAAACTTGGTATTTCCCTAATAGGGTTTTTTTATATTCTGAGCAATATATAAAAAAATCAAGCAACTTGGAGGAGATCACTTCACAATTTCTGGATTTTGCCTGACTCTTTAAAAAAATTATTCCAAAACTAAAAATAAAAGTAAAATCCCGCAAATATTTGTAAACACACCGATTCTACACTACCGTTTCTTTAAATAAATAAAACTTGCTGTATATATAACGCTGTATATATACTCGCTAATATAAATATTATGTTAAAAGTTTCAATAACTAAAATAAATAAAAACAAATAAAAAGAACATATTAGATTGAAATGAAACAAGAATTAAGTTAATTACTATTATAGTTAAATAGGTTATATATATAATAGATTATAAATAGAAAATATTAAGCCACGATGCTGAGGTGCATGCTTTCACTTTCAATCTTGAAGGTAAAAAATTGCATAAATATAGGGGAGATGGGGGCGCATTGATCGCCGGGGCAGTATGATCTTTTAGCTTTTACTCGTTTACGTATGCCTTAATTTAACAAAGATTGCAATTTAATTAACTATTATACTACCCTTCATTGTTTAGTTGTAATAATATTGATAAGATCAACTTCAGCATTAAAAAAATTGAAAATACAGTTTTTCATCATGAAAAGTGATTTTTGAAAGTTGTAATCAAATTCAAATAAACTTTTAATTAGATTTCCGTTTGACTTAACAACCAATTTATTGTAAACTCATATGTGTTAAGTTCATAATAAATTTTTTTTTTTTAAGTTGGTTACAGTATTTATAGAAGTTATTGGCATCAATACATCAACTGTACCTAATGGGGCAGATTGATCGTTGACTATGCGGGACTCATTGATCGGATGATCAAAGTGCCCCATATAACTTTTTTTAATTTTCAGATCTCTAAATGGTTAGGTATAAAAAAAAAAAAAAAATACAGACAGAGTTCTTATATCATGTGATACAACGAAAGAACTGTAAATGAAGTTTTAAAGGGCAGACCATTGAACATTGCAGCTCGCAAGTTTAGTATAAATCGAATGACTTTAAAAAGATATTGTTATAAAAAGAAGCTCAATTTAAACAAATCTTTTAAGCCTAATTACAACAGTAAACAAGTTTTTACGGCAGAAGATAAAAAAGGTTTGTCAAGTTATTTACTACTTGCATCAAAAATGAACTATGCAATTTCAAAAAAGTCAACACGATTATTGGCATACGAGTTTGCTGTAAGAATAATAAGATCTGCCCTTTATCATGGATCAAGAATAAAATTGCAGGGATTGATTGGTTGAAAGTTTTTATGAAAAGAAAACCAGAGTTGTCTTTACGAATACCTGAAACAACTAGCTTTGCTCGATCAACTGCCTTTAACCGACATACTGCAGGAGAATTTTTCCAAAATCTAAAAACAGTAAGAAATTGATATAAGTTTGATCCTTATTGCATATATAATATTAATGAAACTGGTTTAACAACGATACAAAAGCCAGTAAAAGTGTTAGCAGGTAAAGGAAGTAAACAAGTAGGAAGAATCACATCTGCAGAACGAGGAACATCGGTAACTGTATGTTGTGCTTCAAATGCAATTGGAAACTCTATTCCTCCACTATTTGTTTTTCCTAGTGTCAAATTTCATGATTACACGATAAAGGAAGGTCCTCCTGGATGCGCGGGATTTGCAAATTCTTCTGGTTGGATAAAATTTTTATAGAATGGATAAAATATTTTGTGAAGTATTCAAACTGTTCTCATAAATCTCCAGTTTTGTTACTTCTGAACAGCCATAAAAGTCATATTTCTGTTAGAGCTTTGGATCTTACAATTCAACATGGAATTACAATGCTAAATTTTTCTCCCTATTGTACCCATAAATTTCAACCATTGGATAGAACTGTTTTTGGACCATTGAAAAGGTTTTACAATGCTGCGTGTGATAATTGGATGGTGACAAATCCATGACTTACGAACATTTATGATATATTTTCAATAGTTCGCAAACCATATACAAAAGCTTTCTCAACATCTAATATACAGAGAGGATTTCAAGTAGCTAGTATTGAGCCATTTAATTCAGAAATTTTTAAAGATAATAAATATTTACCATTATCAGTTACAGATCGTGCTGCTCCAAATATAGTAAACACATTTCTTGTAGAAACTGAAATGACTGTAGCACATGTTGATGACATGGAGCCTAAAATGCCTGTAGTAATCATAAAGTTTTTTGAAAAAAGTGTCACCAAGCATTGCTTCATTACTCTCACCTGAAGTTTTGAAACCTGTTATAACCTAATAGGAACAATAACACCACTGAATAAAATAACAACTCTTAGTAATAACTCAATATGTAATTTATTTATAACACCACACTACAAGTAAAGTTCTTGCTTCGTGTCTCTCAATATAATGTCCCGACCAAAATGGAAACTCGCTTGCACGTTTCTTTATTCAACATAACCGTGAACCAGAATTACGCAATTACATCAATCCTCCACCCATAAATCATTCGTACTGCTCTAAATAAGATGCTTTACGACGTACTCGACCTGATCTTTGGTTAATTGAAGAGGTTGGTTCAGAAAAAGCACCAGGCTGTTCACACAGTTTCTCGGGCTCAACATCCATGCTAATCTCATCACGATTTTCACTCAAGATTTCGCTTGAACATGGAGTTTCAATCACTTTATTTGGTTTATCAGCATTGCTCAGAATTGGAGTATTTATGCTTTCTGGTGTTTTAGTTGAGTTAACCTTTCTCACACAACGATTTACAATTTTTTATTTTTTATTTTTTTTTTTATTTTATTTCACCTCCTCAAGGCCGAGAAGGCCACTACAGACGAGCAGGCTACTTATTTTGTGGCTATAACCCTCTCTCAATTCTATAACTCCAAAACACAAACCTTGACTAACAAGGCCGCTGCGCAGAGAAACGAGTTGAGCGCGGTACTACCAGGGACGTGGTGAGGATCGAACTCGGAACCACTCGTTTATGAAGCGAGCGCTCTACCACTACACCACTACCGCATTTTACATTTTACCGCATTTGGTCCACATGTCTCATCTGGATACGACCATCTAACGTAACTAACATTCCCAACTGCTGATATAATTATAGCTGCAATCCACTTTTCACCTCTACTATAATTTTTGACGTAAACCGTGTCTTCTGGTTGAAAAAAAAAGATCTTTATCCACAGAAATGTCTGACAGCTTCTTTTCATTGATTCGAGAGCTAACTTCAGGATGTAGCATCGACAACGGATTTTGTAATCTTCTACCCAATAAAAGTTCAGCTGGAGAAACTCCAGTTGTAGAATGAGGTGTAACACGATATTTAAAAAGAAATCGGCACAACTGTGTCTCGATATTATTTCCTTGAAAGTTTTTAATTGAATTCTTAAATGTTTTAACCATTCGTTCTGCTTGACCATTTGTAGCAGGATGATACGGTGCAGAATGCACTGGTTTAATTCTATTTGAATATAAAAACTCTTTATATTCTTCACTCGAAAATCCAGATCCATTGTCACTAACGATCACTCGCGGTATAGAAAATAATTTTCTGAGTACCTTTATTGTTGCTTTGGCTTCAGTACTGCGCACTACTTCCACCTCAATCCATTTTGAAAAACTGTCAACTACTACCAAATATATTTTCCCATTCATTGGGCCTGCATGATCGATATGTAGTCGTTCCCATGGTCTACTTGGATATTCCCAAGGATGAGACCAGGTTAATGGATTCTTCTGACTTCTTTGACATGTCTCAAAATTCTTTACTTTATCTCCTATTTCTGTGTCAATTCCAGGCCACCAAACATAACTTCATGCTAAAGCCTTCATTCCGGGATGCACCTCATGTAATTCCTCAAGTACCGTTTCTCTTAACACACTTGGCACTATCACTCTTCTTCCCCACAGTAAACAACCTTCTTCCGTTGATAACTCAGAAAACCTTAATGCAAATGGTTTCATCTCCACCTTACTCGGTTCCATCGTCAACCCTCCCTCTAACACTCTATTCAGGACCACTCCTAATATTGGATCGTTTTGGGTAGCTCCTCTTAACTGTTTTTCTGTAATTGGGGTTTTCACTAGTTCCAACATAGCCACCTCTATGGTTTTTAACCTTGACTTTTCCTTTGATACATCTAAAGGTAAACGGCTTAGACCATCTGCAGTTGCGTACTTTTCGCCAGGACAATATAGTAATTGGTAATCATAAGCTGACAATAGCAAAGCCCAGCGTAACACTCTAGCAGCTTTGCTTTCTGAAAATAGTCCTAATAGGGGCTTATGATCTGTATACAATCTAAATTTTTGTCCAAATAAGAACTGATGAAATTTTTTTACAGCAATAACTAATGCTAATCCTTCCTTTTCAATTTGTGCATAATTTCGCTCTGCCATATTTAATGTTCTTGAAGCAAAACTGACAGGTTTTTCACTTCCATCATACTGTTGTTGACTCAAAACGGCTCTTACGCCATATCGACTGGCGTCACAGTGAACCACGATTTTCCTTGATGGGTTAAAGTGAGCTAATAAAGGTGCATTGCACAATATAGATTTTACGCTTTCAAAGGCTTGTTCACTGTTTCTATTCCATTCCTAACTTACGTTGTTCCTTAACAAATTATGGAGAGGCTCTGTGATAGAAGCCATCCTGGGTATGTAGGCATTGTAATAGTCGGCCATTCCTAAAAATCCCCTCAACTCCTTGATGTTCGTGATGTTCCGTGCTGTTGGTTTACAACCTTTCTGACTAATTATAAATCCACAAAACTCCACCTCAGGTTGCATGAATGAGCACTTAGATACTTTTAGCGTCAGTCCTGATTCTTTCAAAATTTTTAAAACAGATTCTAAGTTGTTCAGATGCTCTGCATCAGTTTTCCAAGAAATAAGTATGTCATCTACTTGCACTTTTACAAATGACAGTCTGCCCAGCCTCCTGTCCATCTCCCTTTGAAAGATGCCAGTTGTACTATGTACATCAAATTGAAGATGAGTCGGCTGATACAACCCTTGGTGAGTATTTATAGTTAAAAACTCTCGCGAAGTTTCATCTAATTCCAATTGTTGATAAGCTTGAGACAAATCAAGCTTGGTGTATCTCTCTCCTCCTGCAATAGTGGCTAACTGATCAGTGATATTTGGTATTGGATAACTGTCAACTGGGGCTGCTTGATTTACTGTAATCTTATAATCTCCACATATTCTTATTGGACCAGTAGGATCCTTAGAATTCTTTAAAACAGGCACTATAAGGGCTGCCCATTTAGAATACTGGACTTTCCTCCAAACTCCTTGGTCTTCTAAGCAATCAAGTTCTTGTTCAATTCTAGTCCTTAAAGCATAGGTACTGGTCTTGCTTTATAAAACTTAGCTTCTGCACCCTCACATAGTGGTATGTGACATTGGAAGTTCTTCAAGCACCCTAAACGGTTACTAAATACTTCTGGGTATTTTTCTAATAATGTCTTCACTCTTGAATCAACCTTATCATAGAAATTAATTCCTCTCATTCTTTTAAACCATTGCAGAGTTAAACGCTGCATCCAGTCTCTGCCCATTAATGTGGGCACATTTCCTTTTACTACAGTTATAGGTAGCTTACAACATTGTCCATTATACACTACTTCAACCAACCCTATTCCCTCTGGTCTAATCAGCTCTCCTGTGTAGGTTTTCAAAACAACACCAGAATTTTGTAATTTTCCTTCATTCTTCTTTATTCTTTTGTAAGCTGAGATCCCCATTACAGAGACAGCTGCTCCTGTATCTACTTCCATAGAAACCTCACTTCCATTTATTTTTACGTTAACCATAACTGGTCCAGTCACTTTATCGGACTCTTCACTTATTGAATATAGAGCTAGAAAATTATCTTTATTTCCCTCTGTTTCAGCAGTACATCCTTTTTCTGATTAATCTTGAATCTCAAATTTCTTCACACCTAATTTCTTTTTCTTCCTATGATCTAACTCTTTCTTTTCTGATCTGCACTTTCTCTTTATGTGCCCTATCTTTCCGCATGTATGACATTTTAAATAACAATAATTACAATTGTTTGCTTGATGACCTCTAAACCCACAACGAAAACATTCTTTACTTTCTTCTGATTTTGTCCGAATTTCTACTTTATGCACTTCATCCTGCTCTATAAAGCTTTCTTTTGTACGTATAGCTTTGGTATCTTTATATGCTGTCTCATATGCTCTCGCTGTGTCAAGTGTTGTCTCCAACGTTAGATTTTTTATGGTTAATAATTTTTGTTGCACATTTTCATTATTTAATCCACAAACAAACCTGTCCCTTAAATAATCATTCAAGTTTTCACCAAACTCACAGTGTTCAGATAGTCTACGTAATTCAGTAATATACCCGCTTACAGATTCTTCATCTCTTTTATAAAATTGAAAACGCTGCGCAATGGAGTTTGGTATCGGTTTCAAATGGCCCTACATTAGTTAAACTATTTGAGTAAAACTTTTATTCTTTGTGTCATTTTCACATAAACTTCGGATAAGTTTATAAGCAGGTCCTCCTATGGTCGATAAAAATACAGCTTTTTGTTTTTCAGCATCTTCTATGTCATTGGCCAGTAGAAATTTGTCAAATCTTTCAATATATTCTACAAATTCGTCATTAAATCTTTTTTAAATCCAAACAAAATATATTCGATAAATGCATCATTTTTTTTATCTTCGTCGCCAATTGTTATAACCTAATAGTAACAATAACACCACTGAATATAACAACAACTCAAATAATAACTCAAAATGTAATTTATTTATAACACCACACTACAAGTAAAGTTCTTGCTTCGTGTCTCTCAATATAATGTCCCGACCAAAATGGAAACTCGCTTGCACGTTTCTTTATTCAACATAACCGTGACCCTGAATTACGCAATTACCTCAAAACCTTACCCGAAAAGCACCTGCTAGAAAAAGAAGTGTTAAAAGTAGGCAACTAAATACAAGCATTTTAACTGATACTCTAATCAGAAATGAAATTCGTTTGTCAGAAGAAAAGAAAACCCTAAAACAAACCAACGAACAAAAAAACTTATCGCAAAAGATAAAAAAAGGGGAGAAGTTAAAATTTACTTGCTTAGGAACAAAAAACAATCTAATGTAAAAGCAGCTTCACGACTTGACTTTGACAAATAATGATAATATAAAAAAATAATCTTGTAAACTTTAGTTCTAATAAATGTCTTGTATGAATCTTGTATATTTTTTGTAAACTTAAAATACTGTATTCTTATAAACTTTATAAGCTTCAAGTTTTGTAAAACTCAACACATATATATGATAGTAATATCTAACAAGCTTTTTTTAATAGATAGAATTGTGGTAATTTTTCTAATGAAAACTTTATACACTAGTGTGTATTAGGTTGTAATGATATATATATATATATATATATATATATATATATATATATATATATATATATATATATATATATATATATATATATATATATATATATATATATATATATATATATTTTTTAATATTTTAATAATTTTAATAAGAGTTAATAATTTTTTGTTTGATGTTTTTTTTTTGTTTGTTTTTTTTTTAGTTGTTGTATCTTTAATTGTTATTTATTTATTACACATATATTATCTGCTATTATATTATTTATTATTAAATTAACTATTTAAAATTCTTAATACTATATATTTTTTATGATTACTGGTTAATTATTATATCCTTTATTTTTAAATTATACTATATTTATTTATTATTGATTTATGCCATACTTTATATGTTATTGCTTTGTTTTTAACTTATATTTTTACATGGCAATTAAGTACCATTGTAAGTTCTGCGATAAAGCAGTGGCCAATCATCAAAGAGGCATTTTATGTGATTGTTGTTCTTCTTGGGTTCATGCTAAGTGCAATTCAATCAACAAATTTTCGTATAACCTTCTTGTCAAAGACACTTCTGACTGGTATTGTAGTGATTGCGTAATTAAGAATATGCTATTTAGCACACTTTCGGACTTAGAATTTTCTTTAACTGTATCATGTCAGACTCGACCAACTAGTACCTTAAATTCTTTAGAAAGTCCATTACAATTTTACAACTTTTTTAAGGATATAAATAAAATCTCTAATACTTATTTCAACTGCAAATACTACGATATTCTTGATCTCAATAAAACTTTAAAATCAAATTCTGAATTGTACCTTCATCTAAACATTGGTTCTTTGCACTTTCATATTGATGAACTTCGCAGTCTCATAAGTTCACTTACCATTTTTCCAACAGTATTTGGAATTTCGGAGTCTAAATTGTATATTAACGATCCCAATATAACTGACATTAGTATAAATGGTTATAACATCGAACTTCTACTGAAGCTAAAAAAGGAGGTGCTCTTCTATACTTAAAATCCGATCTAAACTACAATGTCAGAAGAGATCTTATAGTATATGCCCCAAAATTTCTAGAATCTATCTTTATTGAAATTGTTAATCCTTTTAAGAAAAATATCATTGTCGGCTGCATATACCGGCATCCTTCAATGAACCCAAAGGAATTTATTTCTGATTATTTTAATCCTTTACTTGAAAATCTTAGTTATGAAAATAAACAGGTTATGTTAATGGGTGACTTTAACATGGACTTACTAAACTACAATGAATCCCTTATTATATCTGATTACCTTGACTCACTTTGCTCTTATTCTTTTTACCCAACAATAATTCAACCAACGCGAGTAACCTGTAATTCTAAAACAATTATTGATAACATCTTCTTAAATTTTCAAATTCCTAATCTTATTTCTGGTAACGTAACAATATCAATTTCAGATCACATGGCACAGTTTGTTTGCATTCCTAGTACTCCTTTCAAAAGAAAAAAATTCATAACAACTAAACGATCATTTAAGAATTTCAATGATAATGAATTTATTCAGGATATTTCTAATATTGACTGGAAGTTTTATATCAGAAATGGTGATGATGTCAATGAATCAATGAACTTCTTTTTAAAAACATTCAACACAATTCTTGATCGTCATGCCCCGTACAAAAAACTAACCAAAAACCAAGTTAAACTCAAATCTAAACCTTGGATTACTAATGGAGTTCTGAAGTCAATTACAATTAAAAATAAGCTCTACAAAAAGTATATAAAATCTAAAAATTGCAACACAAAAAGTCAACTATTTGATAAATTTAAATTGTACAGGAATAAAATTAGCAATTTATTAAGAATTTCCAAAAAGTTATACTACATCTCCTTCTTTAACAAAAACTTCAACAATATAAAAAATACATGGAAAGGAATAAAAGAAATTATTAATATCAAACCCTCTACACCAATTAAATCTTACACTCTTAAGTCTAACGGTTACACTATCTCTGACAGTATGGCTGTTGCTAACATTTTTAACAAATACTATGAAACAATACAACACCCACCCAAAAGTAAAATGATTTCTTCTAAAAGTATCTTCTCTGACTATTAAAAAAATGCTAATTCGAATTCTTTCTTTCTTAATCCAGTGACTGAAAATGAGGTATCTAATTTAATAAAAAATAGTTTACAAAATGGTAAAAGTTTTGGACCAAATAGTATCCCCACACACCTTCTTAAACTTACTTCTCATCTTATTTGCAAGCCTCTCTGTACCATATTAAATAATTCTTTTAATAAAGGTCTTTTTCCAGATGTTTTTAAGATAGCCAAAGTTATTCCTATCCATAAAAAGGGTTCTCTAATGGATCACAGAAACTATCGACCGATTTCTCTTCTATCTAACATTAGTAAAATATTTGAAAAAGCCATGTACAACAGACTTTATAGCTTTCTTGACAAAAACCAATGTCTTTACAAACATCAGTATGGGTTTCGTAACAAACACTCCACGACTCATGCACTTATTAAAATAACTGAAACTATTAGAAATGCTCTTGACAATAAGCTTTTTGCATGTGGAGTGTTTCTTGACTTAGAGAAAGCCTTTGATTCTGTTGATCACTCCATCCTCTTAAAAAAATTGGAACACTACGGTGTTCGAGGTAACACTCTCCAATGGTTTTCATCATATCTTTTTAATAGATCGCAATTTGTCTCCATTAATGATGCCAAATCTTTTCCAATAAAATGCTCCACTGGTGTACCCCAAGGTTCGGTATTAGGACCACTGCTTTTCCTTATTTTTATAAATGATCTTAATATCTCTCTAAAATTTTCAACGGCTTACCATTTTGCTGACGACACCAACTTACTCATAACTAACAAATCATTAAAAAAAATTAACAAACATATTAACCATGATTTATCTAACCTTCTTCAATGGCTGCGCTCTAACAAACTAAGTCTTAATACCAACAAAACTGAACTCATTATTTTCAAATCTAATCAATCTAAAATGTGTAAAAACCTAAACTTTAGACTAAGTGGACAAAAAAATTTTTCCTTACTTTCATTAAAATATCTTGGAATCCAAATTGACTCAGATCTATCCTTTTCCTCTCATCTTAAAAACTTAGCAGTAAAATTGTGTAGATCAAATGGGATGGTAGCCAAAATTCGACACTATGTCAATTATGAAACACTACTTAATATATACCATGCAATTTTTGGATCTCATCTTAGATACGCTGGTCAGGTTTGGGGACAATGCAAGTCTAATGCTTTTTTAAGGTTATGTAACCTACAAAACAAAGCTTTAAAAATAATATTCTTTCAACAGTATCATTCTAACTCTGACATCCTTTACTTTCTATCAAAAATACTCAAATTATGTGATCTTGTTTATCTATTAAATTGTCTATTTGTCTGGAATCATAAACAAGTAAACCTCCCTCCGCCATTCTCCAATTTTTTTACCACTAAAAAAAGTTCTCGTTATTACCTTCGATCTTTGAGTAACTTTAAATTATCTATCCCAAATCGCTGTTCGGTAAAATACGGTGATAATTCTATTACAAACCAATGCGTAAAATCATGGAATAATTTACCTTTTCATTTTCAATCCCTCAACACTTTTTCACAATTTAAAACCCGTCTTTTTGACTTTTTGATAGAAAAATACGCAAATTAAAATCTTAGGCTTATAATAGATTATTATTACTATTGTTATTAGTATTATTATTATATGTGATGTTAATATTACTTACATTTTATTTGCATTTTTATTATCGCCATTATTACTTATTGGAATTGTTTAATATATGAATGTGATATTTGTTAATATTATTATTGTTGTTACTATTGTTGTTAACTTCATTACTATTATTATTATTACTATTATTGCTTTTGTTATTATAATTACTGATATAATCATTGTTATTGTCATTATTATATTTAATAGTATTATTGGTATTATTATAATCGTCTTCGTTTAATTTACATTATTATTATTGTTATTATTGCTATTATTATTATTATTATTATTATTATTATTATTATTATTATTACAATTGCTATTATTGCTATTATTATTACTATTAAAGAATATATATTTTTTTTGTCTCTATAGACACGTCATATGTCGCTCCACTGTATTTTGTAATTTTATTAACGGTTTGTTTGTTTTTGATATAGTACATGGCTGATGGTTGCCGTATAAGCATGAAATTATTAGTCCCATGAAAAGTTGTTTTTTCTATATGTAAATAAAAATAAATATATATATATATATATATATATATATATATATATATATATATATATATATATATATATATATATATATATATACCGCTCTAGTTAGAAAGTTGTTTACTTTCTTTATTATTGAGCACTCTTAACCGAAATAGAGTTTTGTATTACTATTGTTATACAAATTTAACATCAATCGATATATACGCTCCTGTTAGTTGAGCACTCTTCTCGAATTCGTTCACAAGATGGAAAAAATTAACTTCAACTACTCTATCAAAAATATTCCAATTCCATTGGAAAAAGAGTTTTTAATACAGTTAATGCAGAAAACTGAGGTTCTCATAAAA